CAATGAGTGCTGAGCCCCCCTGTAAAGTAAAAAGTTTAAGCCCCCCCTGGACAAATTCCTGAATACCCCCTGGTGAGATACAAATGTATACAATTTTCAAATTATACAACCTATTTCTTTTACATTATTGATCAGATAAAGGTTTAGAACAACGTTCTATTGTGAATCAGGCATTTAATATGAGGTTACTTAATTTACAAAGACAATCCACAAAAGAAAATTATGTACTGGCCCAGTAACTAGCATTTCTTAAGGTATTAGTAAAATATAACCTTTTACTAAGGTTTCTGTTTGAAATATGTGTAATAATAGCACAAAACTTGATAGCTTATCTCTGCAAATTCAAAATTTGCATCATATTTTTATATTAAAAAATAATCTTCCAGTTTCTCTGTTGAATATCAAAGAAAAATACAATGTTGTCCATTATTGCGCTAAATATTACCCCATATCTAGCAATAGTTGAGGATTTTCTGAAACTTTGGAAAGTTCAGTCAAACTTTCCAAAAACAAAGAACATTTTTTCCCACATGAAAACATTAATTAAAATGCTAATGGTAACCTTACCAAATATAAAGCAGGTTCTTCAAATATGATTGACGGGTATAATCTTCCAATGACCACCCAAAAAGAAGCCTAAGCAATTCAAATTTTACATATCTAATAATATTAATCTAAAGTATTTCTATATATTGTTTGATAACCTGTTCACTTATCAAAAAATGATAATTAATGTGTTCTGCCCAAATGGAATCCTTTTGAACAAGACCATAACTGTGAGAATAGCCCAACTTTTCCTAACACAATTAAACAAATGCATATTTAAGCAGATGCCAGGATTAATAAACTATCCCTCAATCTTTGTAAGATACTGTTACAATATTAGGATGTTAGTGTTTGGGTTGAATTTTTCTTTTTCTGACAACTAATGTGGAAGATATTGTTGTTTTCATAAACTTAAAAGGGTTTGACTGTCATATCAGTAGAAATGTTCAAAGCACTTTTGTAAAGAAACCATAATTATCTGTTTTAAAAATTATAATCATGATTTCTACTACATTCTTGATCAGACAAAGCTTTTCAGAGCACTGTTGACTATCCAACATTTCCAAAATGGCTGATAAAGGTTTCAATTTGAAGAACCAGAATGTATTCAAGTTAACATTAGTTTAAAATACCTGAAATATGAAACAAACTAGTTTATTTTATACTTAAATGCATAGGGTTTTGGACAGGGCGGAAAAAAAGTCTGGTCTTTAAAAAATAACTAAAATAGCATTTAAGTTTTTTGTGTCTAAAGCTACAGATCTAAAATCTATATTTCTGAAAACCTTGAAACATTGGGCTACAACATGGGTTTCATTCCTATACCTATTCTCTAAGGCCTTTTTCTAGCCACGCCCCCCCCCCCCCCCCCCCCCAGGCTGTGCATAGATTTAGACCCCTCAGCCTTTAAAGGGTTGTAGAAACTTGTGCCACACTTTGATATTTGTCAAAAAGATTTAAATTTGTCCCTTTTTTGGGCATTTTAATCAACCCTCTCTAGCACTCAAACTATCAAAGTTATTGGTCTAACTTTTTCAATGAGCTGGCCTTGAAACATTGGGCTGTGAACATGGGTTTTATTTCTATACCTATTCTCTAAGGCCTTTTTTCTAGCCACCCCCCCCCCCCCCCAGGCTGTGCATAGATTCAGACCTCTCAGCCTTTACAGGGTTAAGGTTCCTACCTTACAATAGTGAAATGGCTGTCCTTTATCTTGAATAGTTTTAAGAAAATCTGAGTTCATTATTAAAGTGTTCTCAACATATCCCTTAAAAAGATTCAATTGAGACTTATTTTAAAAAAAATGTATTATTTTCCCTTTACCCTTTCTCCCAAGAAGACTGCACTTTTATCTTCATAAATCTGTTTCACTGCATCAATCTAACAAAATAGTTATTCTTCAACCTTTACTTGAAGTTCAATAAGGGCACACTAAAGTAAGGGGAAAGGGGAACCAAAGCAATCAACCCTCAAATGACCACAAATTGGTATTTCCAGCCTGTGTGCTAACCCCTACAGTGGCTTTGGGTCATCTACACCCATTACTAAAGCGTAATTCTGGGAGAATTATTAGAATGAGAATTATAGAAAGGGTTGAGGAACTTACAAACAGTCCTTCACACCATCTCAGAGCACAAAACCCTATATAATTGGCCATCTTTGCGATAATAACAGCAGCTTTTGGTGTGCTAGTTTAGCTTTTAAATACTTCCCTGCAATTGTTTAATACACATTTTTCCAGAACTTTACCCAAGATCAAACGAAAGGGATATTCAGATCATCGACCCAAATATATTTATCATTTATATTTGTCTAAAGCAAAATTACATTAAACAATATAAAAGTTTACAAACTAATACTCTTTTCTCTGGATATCGCATTTTATAATTGACAGGGTTTGCCAAAAAACAGGTGCCATACAAGACTTTTAGCATGAGTATAGTTTAGCTATTCAGAGGTGGTTTTCAGAAAAGGGGTTTCTTGGTCCCAGTCTAGTGTTTTTTCGTTTTCTAAAAATGTGGTATGATGACAGTATTGCAAGGCTTGATAGATTTTCACACATTGCTTTGAAACTAACACTGAGTTTGCAGAACTTATGCAGTTTCTTTAGAATCGCCTTATTTGAAGGTGAGATATATCCTCTTGAACCGGTTTCAAAAGGATGAACAGACACATCCCTAGTTGTTATATCTGTGATAAAATGTTAATACTTGCTCATCTTTTGAGCGTTGGCATTTTTGATATTTGTTTCCAATGGGACAGTAAGCTCAAAAATATCCATCTTTTCCTCCATTCTATTGATAATTACTAGATCTGGTTTCTCTGCAGTCACAAGGAGGTGGGGGGGGAACAGTACCTCCCCCTGGAAGGGATATTTAGATCATCAACCCAAATTTTAATAGATCTGTCTTAAATGTAAGAATTTGATTATTGTAACTTTGATATCAAAATTGGTTCCTAACAAAAAAATCTGTTCCAATTTAGACATTTGAGTAACAAGATAATTTCTTAAATATATTTAGTAAAGTTGAAAAGTCTCATTCTTAAATTGCCCATGTCAATAATAGTAAATACCTCTGATTCCACAATGACAACATCTTCCATCAATTTGACATGGTATGGGTTTGGGGATGTTATGAAGTAGTTGTACCAGAAACTCTTGCCTCAATTTATGTATGCTGGTTTTTAAACTTAATTTATGCTATACCTGTTCTTAAGTATCTCTGTACAGTAAAGTGTAAATATCCAAAAAAAAGATATTATCATTAAATGTATAGGCCCAAAGCATCTATTAATGTTTTTGCAATGGGTATTATTAAAGGGAATGTTTGCAAAAAAATTAAAGGGGGGAAAGACTTGTGCGAAAAATTGTCGATGGTGGTCTCTACAAATCTTAGTTATATCTGTTTCGTCTACAAGGAGAAATTTGTCTTAAAGGAAAGAATGTATTTCATATTTTCCAGAAATGTTCAAAAATCCAGCACAAGCCAGAGGAAATGAGTTGTAATCTATAAATAATATTTAAAAAGAACAAAATCAAAAATATTATTAAATATCAACTATGTATGAATGCTTCAAAAAATAATTAATGATTATAGGTTTTAATATCTGAATGGTTTTTTGGAATTAAATTGATTTTTTTACAATCCAAGTTGTAGGTTGCAACTTCCTGAATTTGTATATGGACACTATGTTCTTTGGTATGAGTCATTTAAGAAAATTTGTCCTTATATACGCAACAGATGGAAGTAAGATTAGTTGCATTGCAACCATCAACAATATTTTTTCAGGTATGCCTACAGCCCCTTTCATTCTTTGCCATCACTCCCTTTAAGTGCAAAAAAGGTTTTTGCCCTTATTTTTATTTTTTCAAGTTTGTTTAATTTACTCAATCACTCTGTTGCAGGGTGATAAAGTAACTTTATCACCCTGCAACAGGAAATATTAGGTATGAGCTTTCAAATTCGATAAGCAGGGTGATAAAGTTACTTTTGACAGACACAATTAGGTGTGATAATTTCACTCAAAATTGAATAAATAATTGAATAATACATTTAATATATTGATATTGCGTAAAAGTTTTAGATCATTTAAAAATCAAACAGCAGAATTGCTTTATCAATGCAGCTTAACCTGATTCTACCAATATAGGATACTAAAATGAAAAGATGTCATTCTATTTACATTTCAAAATTATAATATATTAGAATTCACCATGTTTCGTTCTACAATTTCAGCAGAAGTCTCCACAGGAATCTCAGTAGATTGTGCCAATAATATTGCTCTGCCCAAAAGTAAAAAAAAATTAATTAATAAGACATTTACTTAGAAGCATACACCTTAACAATATTAGGTAATTTTAGGAAAATCATATTGAAATACAACACCAATAAGCTTCATGCAAAATAAAAAAAAAATCATGAAGAAAATATTAAGGGACCTGATATTGCTGGCAAAAGCAAAAGTTAATAATGTAGATGCTAAGGCCCAAGTAAGTATCAAAATGCTTCCAGAATATACTAAAATATTTTTAAAAATTAATGCCAATTTCCTAAACATGTTATTTTTCACAATCATGCACCTTAAAACTTCAATACCTTTGGACAAGGAAAACTTGGAAGACAGAATGTTTTTGACAATATCACAAAATTTCCTGTCTGCCNCTTGTCATGGGTCCATGAAAACAATTTTGTAATAATTATTAATGGTTAAAATTGTTCAAAAAACTAATTTTCTAGTAGTCATTCATTCTTTAGTTAAGAACTAGATGTTTCGTTGAAATCTGTAAGGAATCAAATTGATAATTAATAACATTTTTTAAAGATTTGATGATACATACATATCAAACATAAATGTTGATATAAGTAACAATCATCAGATCATATAAGAAAATGTCATTTTCATTTTCTGACGTTTAAATCATATTGCAATCAGGGGTGCTTAGATTAAGCATGCAGACAGTAATGTTTCCATTCATAATTAAATCGATTTTCAAATTTTGTACAATCAGAAGTTTTTGCTAAATGCCTCTTAATCTTGTAATATGAGGTTTTGGATTTGCATTAATTCATTGTTTAGTGCAAGCCTTCTAGTACTTAATTAATGGCTTGTTTCTTGTGTAACAAGGATTGTAGATTGCGGATATAGACTGGAGATCAAGATTTTTCAATCACATTTAGCACATTCACTTCTCTTATCCTCCTTCTCACTCCTAATCATTTTCATATCATAGCCTATGCTATTGTCAGTTGTGTCTCACAGAAAAGGAAGTTTCTATGCGACTCCTACACTTCCCCCTAACTAGACTGGAATTGGCTATAGGGCTGGACACATTCCAACGTTTTGAAGCTGTTTTGTCAAAAGTTAGTTCCAAGCATTAAAACAAATTTAGTTATCTGTTAATTTTAGGCAAGAATAGAACGTTTTTTAATTAATGGCATTTTCCGTTTTTTTTAATTACCAAGACTTAGTAATTTAAACTTTATTAACGACAGTAATGGAAAAAATCAAAAAACCATTAATGACTCCAGTGGTTAACGGTAAAATATATTATTAACAGCGATAAGCACTGACATTTTTTTAAAATTTGTTCAAGAAATCGTTAACGGTGCCAGCATTAATGGATAATTACAGTTCTAATTGTTTAGGTAGAAAAACAATGCCAAGACTTATCAAGATCCATGTTGATTTAAAAATAGATTTTACTTGTTGACAATATTTTTCAAAAAAAACAGCATATTCTAATAGTCCAACTTTATTCAAAGGATCAGTTTTCAGTAGAAAAATTCTGCTTCTCTTATTTCCATAGAAAAACGGTGCTACGACATCTGCTCTATTTCCATTTGCTCTATGGTCATTTGCTCTAGTTCCATTTGATCTATCAAGTCATTTTCTCTGTAAGTCATTTGCTCTATATTCAATCTGCTCTATACCTCATTTGCTCTATGACTAAACACGTCATTTGGTCTATAATCTAAAAATACAATATAAAATAGCTTTTATTGGAATTCCTAAGCGTAACTTGACTATGAAATGCGGGATTTTTTTTGGAAAATTTGCAAATTGCAGTTTTAATCAGTTCTTCAAAGTTCATCATGACAGAGAGACTGCTCAATAATAAGAGGGGTAAAAAAGCCTAATATGTGGTGAAAACTACAGGGTGTCCCACGAACCATGACAGTATGCAGGACGACTTGAATGTCGTCTTGATTTTTGATATAATTTGCTGCGTTTATTTGTCAACCTAATTTTAGAAGTAAATTTCTAGAGATAATAATCCCAAAATGTCCCTTGTCCTGCCATTTCCAAAATGTGGTCTGCCATTTTTGTGCTTTCAATATTGCCCGAGATATGAAGAATTTCGTTCAGATTTCGACAATTTTGCTTTTATTTAACAAAATTGAAATCTGAACAAAACTCTTTATATCTCTGGTAATATTGAAAGCACAAAAAACGCAGACCAATTTTTGGAAATGCCAGGGCTAGGAGAATTATGTGATAATTGTTTCAAGAATCATACATGTTAAAGTAGATAGAAGACTAAATGTCACAAATAAATTCAAATACCAAAGACGACTTTCAAGTCGTCTTGCTATTGTCATGTTTCGTGGGACACCCTGTATATTTAAGGTCTCACACTATGCACAAATACCAGACAAACAAAACTATCTCCAGGAAGTTGGCGGAATAATGAAACTGTAGGAAGAATTGTAAAATGTAAAATTGTAAAAATATAGTTTTAATATGATTAGATATTTGTAAAATATGTTTATAGAGCAAATGACGTGTTTACTCATAGAGCAAATGTTGAGTAGAGCAATTAGACCATCACAGTCATAAAAATGTTTATAGAGCAAATGACGTGTTATGTCATAGATAAATTGACGTATAGAGCAGATGACATATAGAGCAAACGTCGTGATCTATGAGCTATAGAGCAAATGGTTAATAGAGCAAATGGAACTAGAGCAAATGACCATAGAGCAAATGGAATTAGAGCAGATGTTGTAGCGCCAGAAAAACTTCATAAGGATGCAGTAGAACCAAATGAAATGTTACAATTCAACTCTTTGACAGTATACAGTATAAGTTTTATTTATATTTTGATCTTCAACAAATCATGTTAACAGACTCGAATAAATTTAAAAGAGATTAATCCAATTAAGAAATAATTGAAATAATAAGATTTAGTTGTAAAATTCAAAACTTTTAGAATTAGTGGGAAATTTTTGTAGATAATAATATTAATAACGTTAATCTTTTTTGCCAAATCAATCTCTGAATTTAATGGAATTATGTCTTAAAATGAGTCTGTGTTAAAATAACATGCCTTATTATTGCAAGAGCGATTAAAATTCTATTCTCAGCAGTCCAGCTTCTTAATACATAAGACAACATTTAAAAACATCAAAACACATACAATTTTTTTTACTAGTTTAATACAATTTTAACCAGAAAAAAATGAAATAACAAAATTCACCATTTTTAAATGTTATTTTTATTTCAAAACGGCTGATCCATTTCGATAACGATTAAAAATTTTAGGGTTTTTGCCATTTTTTAATGGAATCTTCTGTAAATTTTCTAACAGTACTTTGCCCAGGCCTATTTAGCTCTAGAATTTTCCCCTCCACTGTTCTGTAAGATGGTTTCTGTACTTCTGTACAGTGTGAATTAGTCTAAGATGGTTTAACCTGTAAATCTGACATGAAAAAAATTTAATTTTGTCTTTCCATTCAACCAGGCATCTTCATGAGTAGATATTTCTCATGCATGGAGAGGTTTCTTTTTCCCCATATTTTTTCTTCCTTATTGTGTTGGTATCACATTTTAGAGAAGGATTTCTCTCAATTGGTGTCATTAGCAGAAGACTGACTAAGTGTTAATTAACGACTAAACTCAGTTTTGACAGAAGAAGAAATTGATTAATCTTTCTGAGTGAAATAGAAAAATATCAGGTTTTAGAGGTCTTACCTCGGTTCCTATTGAAGAGAAACCAGTCTGGCATTCCTTCAGCATTTAACAATGATAATGGTAGCAATGCTATCAGTACATTATCCGGCTAGATTGTACGGATTAATCATTTACTTCATTCTTTTATCGACATACTCTATATATTACAAGGCTTTTAGGGTGCTTTGTGCACATCATATATTTCAACTCTTAATTGTGGTTTTTTCTGTGAGCTCTTCATTCTGTACAGTGTAAAAAAAACATTAAAATTTTGCGGATTTCATAATATTTTTTGTGCATTTTCAAATTTTGCAAAAAAAAAGGACTTTAAACACAAATTTTTGAAATTTTGATCAGTCACAGAAGGACACGAACAAATTTGGGCTTCATCTTTTCTGCCCTATTGATAGTTATTGGATACAAACAGACAAGCAAAGTATATTAAAGTGAATAGAAAATGTTATAGATTTGAAATTTTAATAATTGTTATAGTGTTATTATATGCAGGGTGGATTTAACCTTATTAAAACTTTATAGTCTGAATCTATGTATAGCCTGGTAAGTGCCCCATAGGAGGTAGGTAAAGGTTGAGTAAAGGTATAGGGTTGTAATGCACGTTTATTGAGGTCTCCTCAAATGAATATTAATTTATAAAAATGGCCCTCGTGATGAGTTAAGTAACATTTCTCATTGTACTAAATACTGTAAGCAAAACTGTAGACAGCTCTGAAATTCTATTGGGAAATCCCAAGTTTTAAAATAAAATTTTTTTTTTAATCTTGAAATTGTCATTTAACTTATTAATTTCCTTTTTTTAAACAGGGAAATCAGATCCACTGAAATCTTAAAAAAATAATAAGAAGAAATGAGTTAGGGCCAAAAACTGTCAAAAATGCTCGTTTTTAGAAAAGTAAATTTTTTGAGGTTTTTTATATGAACTCTATCATTTGCTGAAAATTCTCAAAAATATCAACAACTTAAATCTATTCTGACAATTTAAATTTAATTATATATGACATGATAAATTCAAGATTCAAATGCCCCACCCCAGCATGTTAGGGTTAACTAAGGGATATTGATATTCACAGCTATTACATCTTATTTAATTTTCCATCTAAAGCCTTAATTATAACAATGTGTAAGTTAGTAATTAGTTGTTGTGTCATTAAATTTTAAAATATCCAATTCTTTAATCTATTTTTCATTTGTTATTTACTTTAATATTTCACCTGGTTAAAACCAAGAGATTTTATCACATTTGACAGAAATAGCAGCACGATTGTTGCACAAACTAGGCTAATTTGTAAAATATGAAAAAATTAGCAGTTTAAACTATTTACTTTTTTAAAAATGTTAAATAAGAAAAATAACACAAAAAAATAATTGTGGTCTGTTTAACTAATTTTGCAAATGTTGCTGTCTAATGTTAATAAACTGTGTCTACCTAATTAAATATAAAACAAGCTCTGGAAATTACCTTACAAGAATTGCGGACCAGGCATAAATATCAAAAACCTTAGTTATGCAAATAAAAAAAAATTCTATTTTTAAGATTTAAAACTAATAAATCATTATTGTAAAATCACCTTTAGAATATTGTAAGCTGGAGGCCATTTCCCTGGAGACTTAATATAGTGGTAAGTGATTATAGCAATACAATAACAACAAATTTTAATTTAAGTTTTTATTGTTATCAAGCTTATTTAGAATTACGAGCTTACAAATAATTAAAAAGAAACTTTTTTAATTGATAGCTTCTCTTGACTTTTATGATTACGTGTATCTATGCTGTTTAACAGCTTGATTAAATCAAAATTGAACCTGAACGTCATCTTTAATGTATTGGTACAATTGCCTACCACTGTAAGTTTCATCAAAATTCATGATTGTTTAGAAAAGATCTTTAAAAGTGTTGATTTATGAAGTGTTTAAAGTCATTAATATAGCTTTCAGAAAAAAAATTAAATTCAAGATTCCCTGAGAAACTTGTAAATACCAATATTAGTATAAAAGAATCCCATTTAGATTTAAATCAGAAAAATGTAATACCATGACGAAGTTCAGAATTACAAACTCTGGAAAAGATAATTTACAAAAAGAAAAACTCCTGAAAATGCAAACTATAGTAAAATTTATAAAAAATAGTGTTAACATTTAACTTCTTCTAGGCTAGGTTTGACAGTGTGGCCAACCACCCAAATCTTAGGTCCAAAACAAGAAAACAGCCCAAATTTAAATGCTTTGGACCTAAGGAAATTGTGGGCTGAATTTTGGGCTGAATGAAAATTGTTGATCTTAATTGGTAGGGAAAATGGCCAGGCATTGCTTGAATAAAGTAAGAATGAAATGAGTTTGAGAATTTTTCACAGACCTCATATGTTAAGGTTGATATAGTAAACTTAAGTTGGTATTTCCAGTTTATTACTTGGGTTTACATTTCCTGAGTTTGTATTTCAGGGGTTTATATTTACAGAGTTGATATTTCTGGAGCCTTTCCAGTTAATTAAGGTGCTAAATTTATACCTTTGTTGTCCAGCTAGGTAGAGCTACAGGGTAGTAAAAAGAAGGATCAACAAATTTGTTGCTAAAATTAAGTTTCCATTTAACAAATAAAACTTTTAAATGGTAAATTCAAAGAATTTTTCGTTAAAGTCTAGTTATTTATAACAGTCATACTAAAGTATGGTTAAACAGTTCTTGAATTGAAGAGTTGGATAATTTTAGCATTTTCCTGATTTTAGAAAACTCTAGTGTTTTCTTAACTCTAGAATTTGTATTATCTTAAATATAGTAAGAGAGGCCTTTCAATTATTACCATTGTTGTAGAATTTTTGGCAAACAAGCTGAGTTTCAGTCAACTTACGTCCCTCAATTTATTCCATTTTTCATGTTTATAAATGTTTTTTTTTTTCTTCCACTTCCTATTTCCTTCTTTCGGGGGTTTCAAGTCATTATTACATTGCACGTGATTACACGTAATTAGGCGTAACACTTTCTTTCACTTACTGAGGAGCATTATTCAAAATTATGTGTAAATTATGTATACGAAAGAAAGTCAAGTTTTGCGTAATTAAAGCGTACTTCCGCAAAATTATGTAATAAGAAACCAATAATTCAGTAATTAGTAAAGTACATATTAATTTTCAGACATGAATACAGCAGGAAAATATGTGTAAGGATATGTGCGATACAACCATGATTGGATAATTTAAATACTATCAAATTGAATCAAATTTTGCTTATGGTGATGGACCAAACCTCTGAAGGGAGAAAAAGAAGAGGTTAGTTCCACATTTTATTGAAAATATATTTCGGTCTTGGTTGACCCTTGTCAGTCAGGTTGTAATAACCATCAAAATTGATGTTAAAAACCACAAGAAAAAAACAAACAAAAAGATTATTTAAAAAAATTCAAATGGGCTGTCAAATGGACAAAAGAGAAGCAAACTCAGATCATGAGATGGAAAAAAGATAATTTGCAAAAATTCACTTAAATTTTTTTTTTTTTCAGACAACTTTTATTCCTTGAGATTGTTTCTGTCGAATGAAGATAAAAAACAAACAAGTTTATATGTAGAGCTGGGGAAGGCAGGGGGCCATGGACCACTACTATTTCCCCTTCCATGCCACATATTAGCTTTTTTCTCTTCTGGCAGCCATGAGCCACCAATAATTCCCCTTCCGTACCACCACATTTGACTCTTCCGGGCAAAACTACTTTTTTAAATGGTATATTTAGGGCCTTTAAAGTGTGATTTTAAAAAATCCAGACGGGTCACGCAAAATAGCACAACTCAAACCATCTTTTCAATTCTACTGAAGATTAATATTTTGTGTTTTGAATTCTTAAAATGTTTTACAATGAAATTTTTGACAAATTTGACTGATTATTGCTTCTTGAAATATCACAAAGCCTAATGATAATTCAATTACTGACTCTTAATACTAAATCCATCTTAATATCACTCATTAACCAACTTTGTGATATTTCAAGATGCAATACTCAGCCAAATTTGTCAAAAATTTCATTGTAAAAAATTAATTACAGTGTAGTTCACTTAATTTCTACAGCGTAATTTTGCATGATTAACAAAATTTCACAAAATTACACTGTAATTTAATGACATTTCTACAAAAGTAATTTTGCGAAATGTTGCAATAATTAGGCCTAAATAGCGAAACCTTCATACAAACCAGCATACAGGAGAACATTTTAACCTTCCTGGACATGAACTCTACAATCTAAAAGTTAGCGTATTAGAGAAGGTTTGGGACCTTTGGAGAAGTTTAAATACATCAGAGATTTTATGACTGAACTCGCAGAAAATAACAGAAAAAAATAGTTTTTATTTAATTGTAAACTGTAATTCAGTATTCAAATACTGTTTATTTTGAATTCTTTAAAAGGTATAAATACCCCTCCTTAGACAAACCGCCCTCCCCCTGATTTACTGTAAAGTTTGTTAATTAGACCAACCCCCACCACCACTGTATACACTAACCATATAAACTAAACAGTTTGTTTTTAATCTTCATTTGACAGAAACAATCTCAAGGAATAATAAGTGTCTTAAAGCATTTTTAAAAGTGGATATTTGCAAATTATCTTTTTTCCACCTCATGATCTGAGTTCGTTTCCCTTTTGTCCATTCGACAACCCATTACAAAAAAATCTTAAATAATCTTTTTTGTTTGTTTATTTTTTGTGGGTTTTCACATCAATTTTGATGGTTTTTATATTGTGAGAACTAATGAGGGTCAATCTAGACGGAAGCATATTTTCAATAAAATGTGGAACTAACATCTATATTCATTTCTGAGAATTACCTTACTAATTATGGAATGGTTTTGTATTACATAATTTTGTGTAATTACGCCTTAATTATGCGAAACTAGACTTTCTTTTGTATATGTAATTAACACAGAAATTTGCATAATGCTTCTCCGTTTGTGAAAGAAAGTGTAATGTGTAATTACGCATAATTACGACTGGAAACCCTAATGCTCTTCTATGGTTTCCATCTCTCCTTCCATTGTTGAGAATCAAACCATTCCTAGGTTTCAGTCAGAGACATTGATCCATTTTACATCATCAGTGAACCTGTTTTTAAATCTCTCCACATCCTTATACCCACAGTATGTAGACAAGGAACTTGGAACTGATACCTACCCTAATCTTGTGTTGATGTGAAATGGCAAGAGTGACAACTTCAGAATATTCATTACTCGCTCTGAACAGCCACTCCCAAAGCATTAGCATGGGCCTGTTAAAGTCATTTGGGATAGCTTCTTCAATGATGATCCTACTTTTTCTCATCCTGCCTCCTGAGATCATTCCTCCAGATTAGTTTGCTTGATCTTGCTGTTTCTCCCCATATTCCCCCAGACTGTTGTGAAGTTGCTTTGACATCCTTATAGATCCACTGGACATTCTTCGTTGTGTATCTGAGTCTGAGTCATTATTTATGATAATCAACATTGTCAAAGGCAATTAGGACTCTCCATATGATGTATTAATCCTTGCATTCATCAAACCATCCCTGTTCTTTAATCTTAACTTCTCCAGTTCCTCATTAGTCTCTTTGGTATCGAGAGAAATTTCAATGCAAATTTAGCATTTTAGCAAAATGTTTTAGCCATGCTAAATATCCAATTTTCTAGCATAACTGTGCAAAATTAACCAATGTCTATTTCTACAGAAGAATTTGTATTTGTATTTCACTATTTTTACCTTTCTCTTCTTATGTTGAATAAGTTTGTAAACCATAACAGAGTAAAAAGTAAGAACATGGCCATTTTATCAAAATTAAAATACAGCTTAGAGTAAAGGTTAAGGGTTGCAATGCATATGCAAAGCCCAATTTTTCAAGGCCAGAATAATAAAGGGTTTGTCAATAATGTAGTTGTTAGATCTGTATCTTTAATCACAAAAATGTTATAGGCTATTTTAAACTAGCTTTTTTAACACCCTGCACCTAGGGCTAGGCACTTTCCAACTTTTTCTAGCCCTTTTGTTAATGGTTAGTTCCAACCATTAAAAAAGATAAATTTTCATTAGCTGTTTTTTTAAAGGTAAAGTTGGAATGTTCGTATTGTTAAAATCATTTTTTTTCAAATTACCATTGATTAAAAATCTTAATTTTATCAACCCCTTTAACAGAAAAGTTTCAACAATTGATGATGGCTCCAGTCAATAACGGTTAAAAGAATAAAAAATTTGCAGCCATTTATAGTCTATTTTAGTATTAATGGCATTAAGTGCCAAAAAAAAATTTTTATCAGTAAAAGAAATTGTTAGATGTTAGCAATCTATTTCAGTATTTATGGTGCAAAGCGCCAACAAAAAATTCATTAATGGTTATAAAGTTGTTAATGGTACAGCGGTTAACAATCTTATGTAGTATTAACAATGTTAGCGGTTTGTCTAATTTTTAAGGCACTTGAATTACATCTATCCGTTTCTGTGGACTGAGCATAAGTATCTAAGAAAACTATTTTTTTTTCAAGTTTAATGCAACGTTTAGCCAAAAGAAAACGAAATTCACCGTCTAAAAAAAATCCATCCCATTTTTGTTTTCAACTGGCTTAACAGTTATGTTTACAGTTAAAAAATTACCAGTTTTTTCCATTTGTTAACGGAGTCTTCCCTTAATTTTTTGGAAACCTCCGTTCCCCTAACAAAACTTTGCCCAGCCTTACCTGTAACCCTACCCTTTGCATTAAATTACTTTTCCTTAAAAGTGAAAACATTTTAAGGTGGTAGTGTCAAAAATGCTAAAAACTGTCTAGGGTTAAGATAATCTGATTAAGAAATCTGCTAGCAGACTCTAGGAGTCAAAGGATACACAATCCAATTAAATTTTTTTTAAATGCTTTCATCAATCCTATCAAAACAACAATATTTTCATGTTTTTAAAAAACATTATGATAAAGTTTGTTATTTATATATGGGACTACTCACATTTCTGGGGTAATGCCAAGAGAAGGTACCCCAAGATCCACCTCATTATATCCTATCTTTAGACATTTTATAGATAAGAAAAAAAATGCATATTTAGGTTCATCAACTTTTACCATTCCTATCAGCCCAGTCCATTTGGTGCTGTTGGAATCTTTTTCTCCTGGATCATAGGCTTGTTTAAATGTAGTTTGAAGCTTGAACTTATCTACAGTTTTAAAAACAAAATTACAAAATTTGAAAATTAGAGTTTGAAAATATTACAGTCCTAAAACCTTAAATCATTTTCAAAGGAATTGAGTCTTTGTCACAAACTCAAATCCATGTATCTTTGTAATCTTTGTAACCCTTTAACCCATTAACCCTTCAAACTTATTTAATCTAAAATAATTCAAAGTTTAAAAATTTCTAGGAACTGTGACATTGGGTTACAAAAATATATGGATTTAAAAATCAGAGTTTGTGGCAAAATCTCAATTCCTGTTGGGGGATTTTTTCTTTGTGATTTAAAAAAGGCCCTTCACAAATTTTAGTTCAGCTGTTTTAACATTTATTGGATTCAAATGGACAGAAAAGTGAAGTATATATATTTAGGTAATAATTTAGAATTTGGGAATTGTTGCTAGCAGCAAAAAGTAACCTGTAAAAGATTTCACAATATATCCAAAAGTTGTTTTAATATCAGCTTGGTTATCTTCAACAGTAAATACACCAGGAAATGAACCATAACCAACCCTAGAAATGTCATAAATGAAGCCACTGATGGAATTTTCAGGGCTCACAACTCCCCATTTGTGCAGTTATAGGTTTTCCTTCATCCTCCTTAACTTAGAAAGATTATAATACACAAGGACAACAGGGAGCAATCCCATATACCCTTCCTCCTACAAACCTCCATATCTCTCCTGCCTGCTCCACAACTCGTTGTCAAAAGAACTATTTGTAAAATCAAGTTAAACCAAAAAGTAGAAGAAAACTGTGAACAGGAAAATTAGAAGGGAACTTGAGCTTTACACCATCTTTTTTTCACCATTAGGGAATGAAGACAAATACACATGATGGCAGACGTTACATCCCCCTTCTATGTATTCCTACCCAAAATGAAGCATGCTGGAAAATGTGTAGAAAAGCTGACTCAAGCAAAATATGAAAGTAATGCAAGGGGAGAGGGTAGTGACCTTGCTCCTCTTACCCCCCCCCCCCTTGTGTCTTTAAGAATTCAGAATAGTTTCAAAATACAGGGTTTTGAAAAAAAAGTTCTTTTTTGCAATTTGGCTAACTGCAAGAACAGTTTTCAAAATTAGCCAAAGAATGATTGAAGGATGGATGATCAAAATGTAAAAATGACTAACTAGAAATATAGAAAATATTTCTATATTATATCATATAAAAATTTAGAAATATTGAAACACTTAAATAAAATAAATTATTACAGTTAAAGAGTTAATGCTACACTCTTAGCTCAACTATGGTGTTTTACCAATCACTCCCTTTAAATATCACAATCATTTGGAAACAAATTATTGGATTTCAGTAAGAATGAGTTTAGCCATCAGAAATTTTCTTTCAGCACTTTTTTGATTTTTTAGAATCAAAAGGCTAAGATCAACTGATTTTAGAAAACATTAAATCAGACCAAAATATATTTTCAATAAATGTGGAACTAACATCTACTTTTTTACTCTACAGAGGTTTGGTTAATCATCATCACCAAATTTTAAAACATTAAATGTTAGTGAAATAAAAGTCCCTGTTGTTGCTCAATGTAACCAATAACTAAAACTCTTGATGATAAAAGAGTTGAAATATGACACGTCAAAATATTTCCTATGGCATTAAAATACCAAACATTTTAAAATTTACAAATATATAAAACATGTTTTAATTTTAATTTATGTTTGGATTTGATATTGACGTTTCCAAAATACCCAGTGGTAATTTATAAAAAAATTTCAATAACTGATTGTTATAATAAGTCTATTATAACAGTCAACTAAATGTCGCAATATCATAATTAAAATCAAGACTAAGATTTAGAGATTACTACGTTGATCGCAATTGCAGGAATTAAGCAAAAAGTATGGTACCACATGCACCATTTCATTGCAATTGCGCAAATTTGTTCTACCTCAAATTTGGGGCTGTCAACATATTTTTAGGTAAAATTTTATAAACTATATTCACAAGGCAGCTTATTTGTTTGATTTCTACCTAATTTGTTGATAATAATAAGAGTCTGGAAGTCTTAAATCCTGCTTTTTGTTAAAAACTACATCTGAATAATATGTTGACCAGGCGCCAGTACACTTCTGCTTATGTAGGTCCCTGTAATTTAGGATTGAGATTTTATTAGTTTTCTTTTATACTACATAACTAATATACTTACCAATATGTAAATAACGATGAACATTTTGAGAGTAACACCAAACGTCGCAAATCTATTAGAAATAACAATTGTACATAAAATCTAAAAAGTTGAATGTTTAAAATGTGTTCCTTGGGGGTGTTTTGGTTTGGTTCCATCTTGTATAATAATAACAAGTGAAGGAGAATAACCAAGCTGCAAGACTGCATCTACTTTAGTTAACTAAATAAAAAAGCACTGTCAAGATGTTGGTAATAAAATTGCAGATTTTAAAAGTTTTTAAATTAAGCAAGGTAGTTATTATGGAATACAAATATTAGGATTAATACATAGATATTATGATTTCTTCAATTTTATTATAATATAAAGACAATTTTTTTTTAGATTTAACATATCGAAAAGAATATCCTACCTCATCAGAAAAAATAATCAAACATTTTGTGAAACCTAATGAAACATTAAGATTTTCTATTTCATTTTCATTATTTTTAATCAGCTGTTGATTTCCAGAATTAACATGGGTGTCAATCCTAAAAAATAGTGTTATGAAATTATTTTTTTTTTGTGAATGCCTAGTTCACTATGTTCATGAATGACTAGACATTATTATGCCTAGATTTCTGAATGCCTAGATAACATTATGCCTAGATTTTTGAATGCCTAGTTCATAATGCCTAGATAACATAATGCTTAGAGAACACAATGCCTAGATTCATGAATGCCTGGATAACATTATGCCTAGATAACATAAGAGTGAATTGAATGCCTAGACAATGTATTTTAAAGAGAAATAAAAATATTAAAGAGAGAGAAAAAAACATTCGAATGGGTAACATTTTTACAAAAATCCGCAAACAACTTTCTGAAATTGTTCAACTTCAGTTAAAGTTTGACACGCAGCAGCAATGGCTGCTCTCATAAGTCCAACTCGGACAAGAAAAGGGAGGTGATGGATTAAGGGAAAAATACAACTTTAATTATGTTATCAAATGTTGGACATAAATTTGACCAATAAAATATGTAATAAATCATGTAAACATATTAGTATCATTTACATATTGCTTGACAATGTCTATAGGCATTCAATTGAGTCTAATGTTATCTAGGCATTGGGTGACTAGGCATTATGTTTTCTAGGCATTTAGAAATATAGGCATAATGTTATATAGGCATGGTGTTATCTAGGCATAATGTTATCTAGGCATTACGAACAAGGCATTCATGAATCTAGGCATAATGAACTAGGCATTCACCAACTAGGCATTCTCTATTCTTCCAAGCTACAAAATTTTCAAATATTTTTTTCTGATTCTTTTCATAAAAATTGTTTTAAGGGGGGAGATTGTAACAGAGTTCAAAGTACGTATTTTTAACAAAGAATCTTAGATTATGGTTGGAATCAATTATCTTTGTATATGAGAACTCTGTTGGGTGTTTACATAAACTAAAACTCCTTTTTTTGTAAAATTCACAAACAAATGTAACAGATTCTTCAAGAGTTGATATTTGTGCTTTTATGAGTAGTTAAAATGTATTTATATGTTTGTATTTTTTGTGAACATCCTGTGAACACTGTGTATTTTTACGTATTGGCTCAAGGTTAAGACTACGGCTTAAATCTAACGTTGAAATCTGGAAAACATGATATAGACAGTTGTAGCCAATCCTTGAGCAGCTACGGAGTTCCAAACCAACTCTGTACCATTAAAAATGGAATTTTATTGATATTCTAAAGTCAGAATAGAAATATCATTTTCGGAACAAGTCCTGAACCAGAAAGTTCCTCTACACCAGCTTCAAGCAGCTCCCTACGGAAGCAGCCTTCTACAGTTCTGCTCCAAACAGCTCTAACGGTTCATCTACAACAGCTTCAAGCAGCTCCCTACAGAAGCAGCCTTCTACAGTTCTGCTCCAGACAGCTCTGTGTTCTGAAGATGCATCAATAGCAGCAGTTGAGAGGCTCCCTAAATCCCCATACAGCAACTTCACAGTCATAACGCTCCCATATATTCCGTAACAAGTTTTTACCAATAAACAATTTTCTAACCCCACCAAGTATCATTTAGTTAGACCTTAAGTTTAACAAATCCATGCTCCTCACTTGAGGCTAAAAGATGGGATTTTATACCCACTGACTGAGTCCTCAGGCAAACTGCCTAAATGTCTTATTTTACCTATAACAGACTAAATCTATATTTAGACCTACTTTCAGTCAATGGATTTCAACATTTTATAAAACTTTGGAAAGCCTATAACAAAAAGAAGCAGATTCCACAAATTTTGCAAAGAAATTTTAAAGGGGATTTGCACATTTTTAGTTTTTCTTGGATTCACATATAGATTAAACAAATTTTGCAAATGTTTTTGCATATTTGAATTTGCTACGTCAAGGGCTTTTAAAAATTGTAGAATTTATTGCAATTTGCGCAATTTTTTTGCACATTTTTTGCTTAATAACTAGATTTCTCAATACATTTTTGACATTTTTTTCCAGATTATTGAAGTAGAGTCCCAAGGCTTTCCTAAAACGTATTAAATGTTGTATTACAAAAAGAAAAGAAGAGGGGGAGCAATTTGACCCCCCCCCCCCTCCAGACAGTCAGTAAACCAGACCAAAACGCATTCAAGATTTGAATTTGTGAATTGAGATAAGTTTTTAAGCCTTGTATCGTTTTGAACATAGGGAAATATGTTTATTTAAACTAAATTTACTCTGAACACTGGAATAAATAATAATAAGTTAATCATATCACTTTGAGTGTAGTTTGGAACTTACTTCTGTAATAGTAGGGCTGGGCATGCTCTGACTTTTATATTTATCAGTTCAATTTTTTTTAATAGTTGTTCCTCATAGTTAAAAATGGTACGTTCCTTTTATTTATGGTTTTTTCCATTTGCTCTAAAAGCTACCCATTCTTAACGATAATTTAAAACTTGTTAAAGGTACCAGCCAGCCCTACCCTGTTGATAAATTATTTTTTTAACATACCCAATATATACATCAAGACAGGTAGCTGAACCTTGAGCTTTCCTTTTAAACATTTGCAACTTGAGTCAATTTTGTGGAAACTATTAAAAAAAGTTACATAATTTAAATCTTAATTATTTAACTGATATACTATCAATTCTAAAATCTGACACAATCCAGATTATTAGTTACAATGCGGGCTTATAATTATCTATAAAAATTCAAAAAACTGTTGTTTTTTATTGTTTTTTTTTCTATTTGTTCTAAAAACAATCAGATCCTTTTTTGTAAAAACGAGGGTTCACAATAAACTTACCACTCATTTTGAACTTAAAAAGAACAACTATACTATATCTTTTTAAACCATTGTTTTTTAATGATTTTTTGCTAAAATCTATGTTTTTAAATGTTGTCTTTAATGTTTGTTTTTTTAATGTGTTCTGATCAAAGTGTTTACCGACCCGAAAATGTATTTTGTCTAAAAAAGGACATAAAAATCCTTAACAAAAAGTTGTTGTTTTGAGTCATTATTGATGGGTCGTTGTTAACGATCATCAAAAATTAAATAAAAAAGACTTCTTTATCATTATTAAAACAAAACAATAGTTTTTTAATAGTGAAAAAGATTTATTCCTAATTAAGTGAATTATAAAGATTTTGTTTATCAATTTTTTAAAAGTTGAAAAAAATGATAAAATATCCTGATTTTTTAAAATATATAAGTTGTTAATGACTCCCTTATAAACCATTGGATAGTATTTCTTGTATTCTCATCTTGTTCCTTTGTACATTCTGCTAATACAGATCCAAGGTTTAGGAATAATTCTCCAAGAAGTATCAAAAAGTACTTCTTCATTTCAATTCTGAAATTTTAATTGATTTTCTATTAGTATTTTCAACATTTGTTAATTGTTAATAATTTCAAGTTTTTTTAATCTTTTGGCATTCAATATTCCGAAATGTTATCTGTAAAGCGTATAAGAAAGTTCTTAGTTTACATTATAATTAATGGTTGAATAATAGATATCTTGTTCATATGTTTTTAGGAATCTCTTTGAATTCAATATATATAACTATATATCTCTATTCTTTAATACCTTTTATTTTATCTACTCCTTTTTCTTTGATTCTAAATTGTTTTTGTTTTATTTGGTTTTATTGAAATTTAACATGTATGTTTAGCTGCAGAAGGGCCTCCCATTAAAACCACTGACAATGGTTAGAGCTAAACTAAAATGTAAAAATTGTACAATTGTAATGATTTTTTTATTAAAATATTTAGTTAAATATATATCTATCTATCTACATATATATAAATATATATATATACCCGAGACCTAAACCATATTTAGGAAAAGACAGACAAGGACTGTATCTCATTTATGTTAGAGGATAAGAAGAAAGCAACAATGTTTGTTTCTAGCATTTTCATAATTTTCTTTAATGAGAATTTTCTAAACAGAATTTTGTATGCATAAAAAATATCCTTTTGTTTATAGTATAATAAAAGTTTATTTTTGTAAATTGTCACAATTTATTTATTTTTCAGATTATGACACTTTTATTTATTGTGTTCCTTAAATGTTATCCTCATCAAAAATAAGATTATTATCTCGGCAAAATGAATACAATGAAAGTCTTAAGAAATCAATTTTGGAATTGAATTCCTTGATATTTTGTGGGGTGAACAACTTAACTTTCCTAAGATATTTATATCTTTGTATCCTATAGCATTTGTAGAAAACAAAATCATTCTTAAGTTTTTATATTCCAGGGCAAAGTTGCAGTATTACAGTTTTACATTCTCTATAACTTCATTCTAAGGCAGGATCTTATTTTTCATTAACTTTACACCCTGAGCAAGCAAATCTATAAAATTAAAAACTGTAACTGTTAAATCTGGCAGAATTAATACTTTTAACATAAGGTTGTTAATGCATTAAAATCATAATATTAAAAGTTTAAGAAATGAATCACAAGTCAGATCTTTTGTATTGTGAAACTCAAGTTTAAACTTTGATCTCCCAATCAGGTAATTTTACCCCATATTTTTGAAATCTCAGGATTTTCTAACCCAATGGGGAAATGGGGAATTCCCCGGTGAATTGATTTGAAATTGAGGTATTTCTGGGAAATTTAAAACTTGCTGATATATTTTGTAAATTGTGCTTAAAAACAATGAAATTGTATAAAATTCATAACATTTCTGTCATGAATTAGTTTTTAACACAGATCATGATCATGATATTAATGGAATCTAATTCAGATCAATCATTTCCCCAAAACAGCTCTTAAAATATTGAAAATGCTTGATTTAAAGGGATTTTTCTAAGTTGATAACCATTAAAAGCACTTTCATTACTGTGTATTAAGTACTTTAATCTTCTCATGGAGTTGGCAACGCTGTCACATCATTAACTTTCAATAAATGAATGTGGAACTGTTGTGATTTTCTTTGCTTTGAAAGGGCTGCAAAACATATTAGATTTTTCCTTTCTTTTATGTTTTGAGCAACCCCCTAATTTAATTTAATAAAGAGTTGACATTAATCAGATATCTGCATTCTGTATTGAAATGTGTATTTTTAAAGATAGTTAAATAACAAAGGAGATTTTTAATGAATAAATGTTATGAACTATAAAATAAATTAACTGGGAAATCAAATACCACTGCAGAGTGCAAATATTAACATTTGGCATTCTTCTTTTTATTATTTTGATGATCATTATTTTATAAATTCAAAATTTTGTTTATGAAAATTTAACATTTTTTAGAGTGTATCTAACTCCAAATGTGTATGTTGTAATAACGATTATTGTCTTCAATTACAAGCTAGATGTAAATCCTTCCTAAGGTTTATGCAAATATTTCACTAGATTTCGTTTGGTATCAATCCCTATACTAACTTCTATATACATATCTTTCAGAGCATAAATGAATTGGGATTGATCAGTTTCCTGGTTTATTTATTAAATACTTCGGTAACATTTATTCATGCTGGGGGGTCTGAATCTATGTATTGCCGTGGGTAGGGGGGGGGGGGCGTTCTAGAAAAAGGCCTTAGAGAATAGGTATACGGTTTAAATGCATGTTCATAGACCAATTTTTATGGCCAGCTCAAAGAAAAAAAATTAGACTGATAACTTAAACAGTTTGGGTGTACTAGGGAAGGTGGAAAAAAAGGCCTAAAAAAGGGTAAAAAATGAACAAAATATTTTTTTTTGTTTTAAACAAATATATCAAAGTGTGACACATGTTTCTACATGCATTTTTCAAGGGCTTTTTAAAAAATATAGATTTTAGATCTGTAGCTTTAGTCACAAAAAAGTTATGGGCTATTTTAGATTTTTTTTCACAGACTGGACTTTTTTTCGCCCTGTACCCTACCCTAAATTTCTCAAAATTTCACGGTAATAGTGTCAAAAATGAGAGTGCTAGGACAAAAAAAGTACAGCCTGTTTAGGGTTAATAAGTTCCTTTAGATATTCAGTTCAGGATCTGTCCTAGCAGCTTCCTCTATTACTCTATTTCGTTTAGCTGCTCAAGTTCAGTATCTATCTAGGCAGCTTCTCCAATTCGATATCTCATTTAGCTGCTCCAGTTCAGTGTCTATCTAGGCAGCTTCTCCAACTCGCTATCTTGTTTAGCTGCTCCAGTTCAGTACCTATCTTGGCAGCTTCTCCAACTCGATATTTCAGTTAGTTGCTCCAGTTCAGCATCTCTTACACTGCATTCTGAGCTGCTAATCTTGCTGCTTCCAGAATCTCCCCTAATTTAGCTGCTCTTACAATATGGGATGCTGCCACTACATTCCCAGCTGCTTCTTTTATTACCGGAGTTGCTCCCAGAGTCTCTACTATGTTAGCTGTACTTGCAGTTTGAGCTGCTTCCTGAGCTTTTCCCAGAGTCTCTTCTGTGTAAGTCTTACTTGCAGTTTTAGTTGCTCCTAGAGTCTGTGCTATGTTATCATTATTGTTATCATCATTGTTATCATAATTGGTAAAATTATTGTTATCATTAAAATTAAATTAAAAAAGTGCTCTGTTAAATAGAAAAGTTAAAGTTCCATGTAGGAAAAAAAGAGGTCCATGTAGGAAAAAAAGAGTTCCATGTTGGAAAAAAGAGTCCCATGTAGGAAAAAAAAGCGGTTAATGTAGGAAAAAAAGATTTCCATGTTGGAAAAAAGAGTTCCATTTAAGAAAAAAAGAATTCCATGTTGGAAAAAGAAGTTCCATTTAAGAAAAAAAGAATTCCATGCTGGATAGAAGAAATTTCCTGTTGATTAGAAAAGAGTTCCATGTTGGATAGAAGAAATTGACATAGAAAATAGTTTCAGGTTGCCCTACTAACCCAAAAACCTAAAAATACTATATTTATATCTTTATTGTATATACAAATACGAATATATAGGTGTATTTGTGTAAAACAAATATATGTAATCAACTTTTTGGCAAAAAACTTATGTGTATTTACTTATTTTTACATAGTTATCATACCGATACCCAAGCTTTCTTTTTTCATATTTTTGTGAAATTATTTAAACTCTTAAAATGTCTAGTTGTCTAGGTTTAAAATAATACATATTTTATCATACATATGTATATTTTACACCAAGGAATTCTTTCACGTGCAGTTAAGGTTTTAAAAAACCTATTTTTACCTATTATATGTATGTTTCATACTCAGGACATTTTCTGTGTGCCTAGGTTTTAAAAGTATGTATTCTTAAATACTAAAATACTTATTTTTTCTCCACTATGTGTGTCAATTTAGAAAAAACGTTTTCCTTTTGCCTTGGACGGCTAGAATTTTGAAACATTTGATTATTTGTTTATAGAAATAATGTTATGGGAAAAAAGACATTTATTTTTTTTTAATACAGAAAAACAGATTGTTTATGAATAAATTGACGCTTTTATTAAATAATATAAATATTTGTTGACTTTAAAAGTCAATATGATAAAATAAAAGAGATCTAACGGTATTTCTAATCTTTATTTATAAAAAACAAAAGGTTATGAAATATTTTCCCAAGTGGGGCTTAAATTGATTGGTTTAGAAATTAATAAAGAAACTATAGACGAATATCTGAATTAACATCGGCATTTGAGTCGGAACAATCGTCTTCCTTATATTTCGAATTTGTTTTAACAATATTATATTATCAAAACAAATATCAGACACTTCTGCAATAATTGGCAAAATTTTAATATTTTTCTTATTCCTTGGGTTTTCACAAGATGTGTAATTATCATTTTACACATTTAATAAAGTAAAAGAATGCTGTGCATAAGATTAGGGTTGAGCAAGGTTCTATTAGAAAACATTCTTTTAACCATTGCCAAACCAAAATAACCGGTCCGTTCAAAAAGAAAAAAATAACAACAAAATATTAAAGAACCATTGATTGTGTTTAAAATTAATGGCGCCTTTTTTTAAAATTTCTGCTTTATATTGAATAAAAATTACAGAAAAAAATATAAATTGTCTTCTAAATTCCAAATTTTAAAATATGGGAACATTTGTAAAAACAATCATATTCCCTTGCTGAATTTAAAACTGAATATTAACAAGGTTTTAGTGCAAATAAACCTGACATGAAAACCCAAATTTCCAGGAGACAGGAAAAGTTTAATACAACTTTTATCAATATTTGAATAAGTAAAATGGAAAGTAAATAAAAAGCATACATTAGTGCAAAAAGGCAAATAGCTTAACACGAAAACACAAATTCCATAAATTTATTTCTAGAATATAGGTTTTTTTTCTTTTTCCAAATTTGAATGATAGGTAGTAGTATAGGAGGGCATATTGAACAATAGACACAGTCACTTTTTATCTCTCGATTGAATTGTATTTTTTATTACATCTGTTTCAAGGAAATGTTTGTATTTTCAAGTGATCCTCCATTCAAAGATGGCAATGTTTGATTCACAGTGGTACCCTTAAAAGCTTTGTCAGATTCAGTATGAGTTAGTTTTTATTTAACTGTTTTTTTTCATTTAAACAGTTTCTGTGCAAAAGTACCTTGCCTACTTCTTGCTTGTGAGAGACGCTAAGAATTTATTAGAATCAAACACTTTTTTTCACTTATTTAATCAGATTAAGGTTTCAAGAATACAATTGTATATTGGGCATTGTCATCTTTGCACATAGGCTCAGTTTAAATTAGGCTTTTAACCCCGTTTCTGATTAATCTTCCAAGTTGGTTCAATAATGCTAAAAAAAGAGAAGCTATATAGCACAATTGATTAACTTATTATATTTAATATGTATATGTTATCATTCTTAGCATTTTTAATAATTCTAGGAGCAAGGTGTTTTATTATTTTAGCTCACATCATAAAAATGTTTGAATGGCTTAGTTTCCGAACTGTCATCCTAGAACAATTTTAATAGCATTTCAAAATGAAAACTGATTTTTTTATTTTATTAAAATTCATAATTAGTTAGTTAATTAGATAATGATTAATTTTTTATTAATGAATGGAAACCATTTTTTTTATAGTAGTCAGAAAAATAGTTTTAAATTTAATCACTTTGCGCTTGTCAAAACACAATAAAAATCGAAAAAAAGGGATAATAATTGTTTTTCTTTCAAATTTTAGAAAAAACTATCGTTTTGGTATTTTTAAACAATAATTTCTTTACAGAGACTGTGTAAATTGTAAACAAATCAACGCAAACCTTAGCAACCTGATGGGTGCTTGCGCCACATTGAATCAGCCTGCTTATAAAAAGTCTCTTCAATTTTAAGACAGGGTGGACTTTGAAGTATTTCAACGCATTGGACTTTGATTTGACTGCTCTAACTCACTTATGCTTTTCTGTAGCCCTTTACATGTACATATTAGCACTTTAAAGCACTTGTTGTTAGATTTTGTTTAAGTAATTGGCAAATTTTTTATCAATTTTTGCTTGAGAGATTGAGACCTGTAAATAACAGCGGATGGTGTAATGTAAACTTTGATATTTCAAACTTAGATTATTTGATATAACAGAATTCATAGTTTGAAACATATAAGGTCAACAACATTGGGCTGCAAAGATATAGGTAGTATTCCAAAAACTTTCTTCAAATTCAAATTTTGATCAAGAGAATAGCAGCATGTTTCAAAAACATGTTGTTACTAAAAATGGATACAAGAGGTGCTGCAATTATAAAAAACACGTTAAATTTATGTTTATATTTTAAGCCAAACCACAAAATTTTAATGTTGTATTATTAGGAAAGGGTTCAAATAAAATTAAATATATAAGGTGAAAAGTCAACGATCACAATAAATTGCAAATATGAATCCATAACTAAGACCTGTTTCCACTTTAATTAGTTTAAATGTAATTAATATTATGGAATTATGTCAAACAATTAAAAAAAGTTTTTGTTCCAAACTAATTTTTTTTAAATCATAAAATTTGATTTGTTCACTAATCTATTCCTTGACATCTTGAATTTCTTGTATTATTGAGAAAAAAATCTTTAATAAAACCAAAAGCATTTGTGATGTAATAAATTTACAAGATTCTAATTCAAATCACATGAAAACAGAATTGGGAATTCATATTTCATGTTTTTATTCAACTACAAAGCATGAGATATTACAAATAAGCAATCACAATGGTGTTATAATTCAAGCCAAAAAAATGATAAAAATGGTAAAAAATTTTGATTATGATTTGCTATTCTGATTTTTGGAATTCTAAATAAAAGTCAAGTTCTGATTTTTTTTTTAATATCAAAACAAAGATAGCAAGTTCCTTATTTTCAATTTCTTGATACACTAGATCTATCTTTTTTGAACTTTTACGAGATCTCCACACTTTAAAAACCTTTGAATCAATTTAATACTTTTCCAGGAATAACAAGCATAGATCCTCAAATTTAAAAGTGACTACATTGGATATTGAGATCGAGGCTGTAAGATGGATGATAGTATTACATAAATAATGAAAAAAGGTTTAAAGATTTTTTTTTGATAATCAGAGCTGAATAAACAATTGTAGAAAACACCAATTTAAAATTCATTTCATACAGTGAAACCCTTAATAACGAATACATCGGAAGAATTTATCAAATGTCGTCTTGACAATTTTTCAATGATTTTTATACTATATTACGTAAATTTCAGTATTTTTTGAAAATAAATAAATAGCCATGAATATGGGGGAACAGTTTTAAAGAGTTCCATATAATCATTTAATTAAAAAAACTATATATCTGCAACATTCCATTATCAGAAAGTGAAGAATACGACATTTGATGAATTCTTTCGATGTATCCGTTATTAAGGGTTTCACTGTACCAAATTGCAAGAATTAAGCATATAATATGCAGCTAGTTATAAATGCTATATCATTATGAGAACCCTTATTTTTAAAAATCAAAACATCAAACTTATGCCACTGTTTAGCAAATGGTTTCATTTACCATCTTTTCATTACATAAATAAAAACTATAATGAAAAAATGCATTCTAATCCTATCATAGTAATACCATGATATATTCTGATATTTTGAAAATGCATAATAAAATTATTAACTATGAAGCTATCTAAAGCTATTAAGAGAACCCTTACTCTAATAGTCCAACACTATGTCAAATATTAAGGCTAAACACTCTGAATGCGCTTTATTGTAGGTAAAGACGACTTTAATAGCAATGGACACTAATACCCAATGTGATGAATTTTAGATAAGTATCAGTGACGTCATATTGGGTATTAGAGTGTCCATTGCTATAAAAGTCGTCTTTACATACATTGAAGTGCATCCTGAATGTCTAATCTTATATACAACCTTTCCTTAAATCAGACATTTTGTTATATACAACAATATTTTGTTCTGTACAACAATATTTTGTTATGTACAACAGTATTTTGTTATATACAACAATATTTTGTTATATACAACAATATTTTGTAATATACAACAATATTTTGTTATGTACAACAATATTTTGTTATATACAACAATATTTTGTTATGTATAACAAGATTTTGTTATATACAACAATATTTTGTTAAATACAACAATATTTTTCTTTGTACAACAATATTTTGTTATATACAACAATATTTTGTTATGTACAACAAGATTTTGTTATATACAACAATATTTTGTCATATACAACAATATTTTGCTTTTTACAACAATAATTTGTTATATTCAACAATATTTTGTTATATAAAATAATATTTTGTTATATACAACAATATTTTGTTATGTACAACAAGATTTTGTTATATACAACGATATTTTGTTATATAAAACAGTATTTTGTTATATACAACAATATTTTGTTATAACAACAATATTTTGTTATAACAACAATATTTTGTTATATACAACAATATTTTGTTATAACAACAATATTTTGTTATATAAAACAGTATTTTGTTATATACAACAATATTTTGTTATTAACAACAATATTTTGTTATATACAACAGTATTTTGTTATATACAACAATATTTTGTTATATACAACAATATGTCAGATATAAGGTCACAATTCCCCAAGCTGACGTCAGAGACGTATTCTGGAATTTTTCTAGGGGGATGGTTTCACACAGTTTCCCAGTATGAGAGAAGATCTTGGAATACTTGCAACAGCAAACTAAATATAAAAAGATTAGTAACATAATTGGTTGATTTTAATAATAAGCTGCATCTTACAAATTGTCTTGGAGATTGTCGGTTCTTCTGGTATTTCTGAATCACAGTTTCATTCCCTGAAGTATTTTTGGGAGAATTTAGAAAATATTTTGTTAAAAAAAAAGCAAGATAATGTTAGGAACATCTAAACATGTAAGATATCCTTATCATTCTGTTCAAAATGTATAACAAACAAAAATAAAAATTTTGCAAATATTGTTGTTAAAGCAACCATTTAGAAATGTTATTTAGAGCTGGGAATGGGATCAGTAGATATATTTAATCTGTATTGGATATCCAGCATAGTAACTGTACCCTGAAGAGATTTAGAATTGATCCTAAAAGTGCCTGCAATGGATATCAAAATCCAGGGATTATTGGTATCCAACTCAGAAGTTCCCAGCTCAGATCTAGGGTTAATAAAAAATTTGATACCTTCGATGCTATTATCTTGCCAGTAGTACCAATAGTTAGCATAGCTGTTATCAGATCCATAACTGTTACATTAACCAGTATTAGTATTCAAGTAGTTAAGGTATGTCCCCTCATAAATTCATAAATCTTATATGTATTAAAGAAATATTTATTCTGCAATTGCACCAATGTGTCATGAATGTGTATATATTTAAATAATGTAATTTAAATAAAGACTGAAACTGAAAAAAATGTTCTAATGTCCGTAAATTTAAAGCAGTGTATATAAAGGTAAATTTGTTTTATATTTGTTAGTCATCTTATGTAATTAGGGTTTGGCACGTTCCGAGCTGAATCTAAATGGCAACTACCCTAACTATCCCCAACTACCGTCTGTTTTTAGAGAGACCCCACCCCCACCCTTGAAAGCTTGTTAAACCCAACTACCTTAACTACCGTAAGATTCTGCTTTAAGGGTGGGGTTGGGGTCTCTCTAAAGACAGTTGGAAGTTGGGGTAGCTGCATTTAGATTCAGGCTCAGCTTCCAGGGGGTGGGGGTGGGGTCTCTTTTTAAACAGACGGTAGTTGGGGTTGTTAGGGTAGTTGCCATTCAGATTCAGCTTCAAGGGTGGGTGTGGGGTCTCTCTAAACACAGACGGTAGATTGGTAAAGTTAGGGTATTTACCATTTAGATTCAGCTTCCAGGGTGGGGCAATTACCCTCACTACCCCAACTACCATCTGTTTTTAGAAAATACCACCCCCACCCTTGAAACTGAGTCTAAATGGCAACTACCCTTACTACCCCAACTATCGTCTGTTTTTAAAGAGACCCCACCATAGATAAAGATAGATTGTGCATAAGACGACATTTTTCATCTTGAAAGATATAAATGTACAGAGATGTTTTAAAGATATTCCTATTATATAGATTAACTAGGTCGGTTGTGAACATTGGCTGTTCTTATGTCATTGAGTACTTGTGGTGTACATGAGTTCTGTAGAGAGAAATTTAAGTTAGTTTAGTCCTTCTCATGTCCTTCTTTAGTTCTCGTCAATATGATATATTTCTCAGTGAAATATTGCTGTTCAAATAGTTCCATTCCCGGAGTTATTTTACATTATATTATGAAATCCTTTAAAAGACCAAACCACCCCACTTATCATTGAAGTACAATCTGACCCCTAGAAGTATGAGTTCGCGGACTGTACAATTCTTGGTGATTTTGCGTACATAAGCTATCTATGCAGGGGCTGATACAGGGGGGGTGGCGGGGGGACATTCGCCACCCCCTGACAGATTCAGGGGGGGGGGCGTAGCCCCTCCCTGAGATTTCGATTCAAAAATGTTCCCAATTTTATAAATCGTACGTGTTTTTCAATTTCAAGCTTTTTTTATTTAATGGAAATCTTGACTTTCTTTTCTTCAGTTTAATTTAAAAAATAACGACACAAGTAAATGTTATTGTTAACGATAAATTAATTAGAAATTTGTAAGAAACTAGACTTAAGTTATAATATTGTTCATATCTAGTAATGTTCCTTAATCAATACTCATTTATCAAAATTGTAATATTGGTCCTAATTTTGATGCATTTAAGTATAACTAGTAATTTCTTTTTGTTTTTAAATTGCTAATGTTCCTATTATTGTTCCTGTTCCTAATACTGTGTCCGACCCAACTTAAATCCCTGTCTTAATCCAATATTTTTGTTCCTAATTCCTGAACAATCTTTTTATTGTTCCTAAATCACTGTCCGAATCCTTTAATTTTTATCCTAATTCCTGAACAATCTTTTTATTGTTCCTAAATTCCTTGTCCGAATCCTTTAATTTTGTTCCTAATTCCTGACCAATCCTTTAATTGTTCCTAAATTCCTGTTCTTATCCGTTAATTTTGTTTCTTAAAGTTAAAAATCTAGTTTTTTAGTCTTTAGTCATTAATTTTGACTCTTTTTGAGTCTTTTAAGGCAAAAAAAAATTTCGCCTGCGGCACGATTTTTTGTTCCTAATTATCAATTTTTTTGTTCCTAAAAAATCTTGCCCCCCAAACTCACTTAAATCCTGTATCCGCCCCTGCATCTATGTTTATTTATTTATCTATGGACCCCACCTCCACCCTTGAATCTGAATCTGTATAGGAACAACCCTCACTACCCTAACTAACTTCAGTTCTTTAAGAGACCCATCCCTACTCTTTGATTATTCTTTGGGCATGGTATACAATATGGGTAGCGATTCTCATTAAATCAATTGTTTTAAGCTTGTCTCTGGCATGCATAACACTATGCTACCTTTACTAACCTCACCACCAACCTTCTGAAGGGTGCATTTCGTAGTCGAAAAAAAGGCATTTTATATATACAGGAAAAATTCTGCCCAGAGAGAAATGGATTCATATACACACCTTCAGTTAACTTTCCTTGCATTAATACCTTGACATGAACTAATAAATAACGCAATTGTGAGTCTATCACATGCATGCATCAACCATAAAAATTAGATTTAAATAAATATAAAGATTGCTTTGCATTTTATGCAATAAATAGGAAAATTTTAGAAATCCTTTTTATCTGAGGCCATACAAATTTAAAAGAAAACTTACTAAGATCCAAAGAGGTAGAATTCCCTTGAACTAAGCTGTAATATGTGAGCCTGAAACAGGTCATTATTTCCTTTTGTTGATTTAATATATATTACACAAAGACTTTCCTAATGTTAAAGACGATTTATCCGACTGCTCAGCTGTATTTTGACGTCATTGGTTATTTTGGTTGTTTGAGAGTCTAACGATCGCGACATTATAACCTTATATATTTAGCACAATTGTTAATGTATTGTGCTAAAAGTTAACTAAAGTTAATGATATTGATTTGTATATAAAAATTTATTTAATCATTTGTTGGATATGAGGATCGTCTGGTGAATTATAGCTGAATTTGAGATAAAGTTATGCATCTCTCTTGTATTAAAGCCAATAATTCTTAGTGAATATTTCAGATATCGTCAAATATTTTTTCTGAGGTTTTAAGGAGTGGAATTTTGGCGATGAAGAAGAGAGGGGTCCAGAAATTTCCAATATTATAAATGGTAAATAATTTTTTTTGTTAAATGTTGTCTTCTGGTTAATCTTAGGCATAGAAATAATATGGTATAAATTAATGTATTAATCTTACTCTTCATTTGATGTATGGGGATTTTGTTTCAAAAATATCCACCATTAAAGACAAAAATATAACAAAAAGTTTCGGTAAAAATTCTAATCAAAGGAAGACCTTATAAAGTTGATAACAAGAGGTTTGAGGCATGAATTGTTAGAGAATTTTAAAAAGGCGGACTAAAGAAATGCATTGATAAAGATAAAACTGAGGAATATAAAGTTGACTTTTATACTCAATTTTATTTAAATAGTTCAATGAATATAAAATACTGCAATTTATCAGTACATGCAGATTGTCTAAAGTTCGTATTCATATTACGGAGTTTTAAGTATTCAAATTCGATAAATAATTCTGATAAATTCAGGTTCGTCGATGCCACATGCCAAGCAAATTAACATGTATGATACCCAACTGCCAATTAAGCCAACCCAGAATAGGAGAGACTGCGTAAATTACAATACCAGCAGATCAAAATGAAAAAAGTTTGGAAGAAGGCTATTTAATTAGGTTATATGAATTCCTTACGCTTGAAGATCCCAGAGTGTGTAAAAACTATTACATTGTGGAAGACGATGCCTGGCCGCGTTAAACTAGTTCCACAAGATTCAACAGAATGAGATAGAACGGATACGGGGCATTGTACTGACGGACAGTCTAACACGTGTGATATTGATATAGACTCATGTTCTGAACCCTCTAGTAATAAGTTATAAGAAATATAGATACTGGAAGTACTTTATGCGTTTNGCCCGGTTTGACCTGGAGAGCGCTTGATCAGAGCAGGTTTAGCTGCTACAGGGTGTCCCACAGAACGGGCTGAAATTGAACGTATTACACCCCAACCCTGCCTCTTTTCCCATGATGAACAGGGGGAGACAACATGTTGAACATTTTTTTAATCAAAAATATTTTGTGTAAAATTGATTAAATATGATTGACTTAATTCAAGATAATAGAAAAATATTTTTTTGAATTTAAAATACCCCTGATTTCTAAGAAACCCAGCTGCCCTGCAGCTGTGATGGGTTTCTACCTTTCCCAGCAGCCACGCACCTGCTCCAGCTCAACAGGTTGACTGCGACAGTCGGCACGGCAGTTCTCAGTCAACTCAACCAACTCAGTCAGTACTCACTCTCAGTCTCAATCCAGTCCATTGTCCAACTCCATACCCATTAATTGAGAGATTCATACGATTCATTCAATGTCCCATATCTTACATATACAGAATTGAAGTTAAATGGAACACCCGTCCAGTTCCTGTTGAAGAGTTTATGTTCATGGAGAAGTTAATTTGAAAGAATCTAAATGGAGAAAGCAGCAATTCGCAAGGTAAAAGATTATATTTTGCCCCATGTCGGGGGCTTTCTACAACTTATATAAAACTTCCAAGATTTTAAACAGTTTTAAAGATAATGAGATAATTGATTACTGTTTAAAAGTACGCAAGGCTACTTGCATAAAAGATATAAGACACTAATTTTCTTCTTATAAACACAACATAAACTTCAAACCAAAAGTAAATGTTCTAAGGGACTGATAGATGTAATTTCAAGTTACCAACCCATTAAAGGTCCTATCAAGAACATTTATCTGGGTAACAATGAGGAAGATATCGTTATTATTTCACTTAAAAGTGATAAATTATGTTCATTGCCTTTCCACTAGTCCCTTTAATGGACTATGGACAAATTAAATATTTAAAGATAAAATACTAAAGTGGTTTCCTTGTTTTGTTTTTAAATTGTAATGGTTACGAGGTATTGTGATCTGCCAACGATGCTTCAGGGATAAAATATTTATCCCTTTGAAAACATCTGTAAATAGCACGGTGGGAAAAGCAAGCAAGAGTTAGTTAAACCGACGCGGAGATGAGGCCCGAGTAAAGCTAAATCTATCTCCCTTTATCGTATATTTCATATACAACAAAATAACTATTAACTCCATTACAAAATACAACATTATAAAACGTAACTGAATAAATATATACTTGATTTCTGGAGAAGACAACATTACTAACTATCTTTGTCTACCCGAGAAAATGCGTCGAATTTGTGTAGATGTTCTGTTCTTTAATCAGCAAAGTCTTTGATTATACATATGTTTGTATGGTATCATTGTTGGACACTAAACTATGAAGTTATACGCAGTGACCCCTACACGGCGAAATATTTATTAACCCTAAACAACCTCAGGGGGGGGGCGATTTGGCACCCCCCCCCCTGTAGTTTTATTTGTCCTAGCACTCTCATTTTTGACACTATCACCGTGAAATTTTATGACTTAAAATAATAATTTAAAGGATTTTTTGTTAAAAAACATTTTATTTTAATTTATAGTGTGAACTCACGTTCAAAGAACTCAATAAAGGAAACTTTACAAAGAGAAACTCAATATAACAAGCCAGGTTGAATCGATTAACACACCAACTTTGCAAAGACATTTATTTTACATTATTATTAAGTACAAACTGCAGGATCAACAATCCTCCTCCTGAAGATTCTGAAGATCTTATCAACCCTTCTCCTTCGCTGCTTCATCAAGACTGACCACAAAATGGCTGTTCATTTTGCTTTCTGATTCTCTGCCGACAAAAGTTCCGTTATCTATCCTCCCTGGATACAGGATCAATAGGGTTCGAATCTCAGCTGCCCCTGGAAATTTCCTCTCCCGTTAGGACAGATGCCTGATAACGGTTTTAAATCATTTGTTGTTCGTTTACCCAGTTCTCAACTGGTGATAACACTTCTGGGTTGAACGAACTTCTATACAGTAAACAATTTTATATACAACTTTGGTGGGTTTACAATAGGGTTGGGTACAGGGCGGAAAACAAGTCTGGCCTGCGAAAAAAATCTAAAATAGCACATACCTTTTTTGTGACTAAAGCTACAGATGCAAAAACATTTTGATATTTGTTTAAAAGAAAAAATATTTTCTCACTTTTTTGACCCTTTTTTAGGCATTTTTTCCACCCTTTCTAGCACCCAAACTATGAACATGCATTTCAACCCTATACCTATTCTGTAAGGCCTTTTTCTAGGGGGGGCGCCAAACGCCCCACCCCTCTTGGCCAGGCTATACGTATATTCAGTCCCCCCAGTCTTTATATGGTTAAAATGCATTCATAGCATGTATGATGTATGCCAGATATATGCTTACACGCTAAGGATAAGGGGATATAAACTTATTACATATCCAAACGTAAATAATTTTATTTAACAAAATGAAGCATCACAATTATGCAATAGTGTCATCATGCTGTAAATGGAGTCAAACAAAATTAGCAAAATTGTTTAAAGATTTACAAATGTGTGAGCTTTGACCCCGTGTTGGATAAATGTTAATAATACATGGTGTATCTCTGTCCCATTTTATTTGGGATTGGGATTTTTAAAACTGAAGTTATTTTTTTACTAGCTTAGAAACAGCCAAGATTACTCATAGTTACACCTGCCATTCATCAGCACTTGAACGATTTTACCAGAAAACTAAATTTTCACTATGAAAGTTGTCCCACTTAATTTAGAATCACAAAACCAAGCTAAGAATATTACTGTGGTTCTCCCGAATCAACAAGAAGTTTTTGATGGGACAAACAAACAGAGATTACATATTTATATACATAGTAATTCATCTGCATACTCAAGAGTTATTCAATTCAAGCATTCAATTACACTTGAAAACTGTCCAGAGGACAAATTTATAAAAAATTAAACATTTAGAAAACTTACATATGACACAGCTTTCGAGTCAGATACCAATATATTCCAAGAGTATTTGCTGGTGTCCATGAAGGTCCAGTAGGAGAGGCCAAGACCTCCAGATATAACAAGCATTCTTTTATCATCCTTGGCTCTAAATGACAGCATAACTTTCAGTAGAACTTACAATTATTATAGCTGGGTCTACTATATTATTGAATTAAGAATCTGACCATTTTATTTCAATCTTATCTTTAAAGGGACTGTAACGTAATGTTAAGGGAGACTCAATGAAAGATTGCAATGCCCCATTTACAACACTACCTTAAAAAGCTTGGCTGGTCAAGTTCTTCCCCCCCCCCATCCCCTATAATCCATAAGCCTGCCATTAGTTTATAAGGTAAAACAGAAAGTTACCGTAAGTTTAACACTCTTAATTTAATCAATGGCGTTAACAGTAGATTTTTCACCGGGAATGGTTTTTTTGCGTTAGCCGTTCAGAAATTGTAATAACGGCGTTATTAAAAATTTGTAACTTTGCCATGCCATAGTTGTAATTGGAGCTTTGCCAGTTATGTATGAAGGGTCTCTTGAGATTACAGTTACAGTCCCTTTAACATAGATATAATATAATCCTTCTACCTTCTAATTATAGTACATCCAAAGCCAGATTTTGCCTCAGGCATTTCATTGATGTGCTGCTCCCAGTAGTGCGTGTTTAGATTAAGCACATTTACTGTTTTCATTTGTCCTCCCTATAATTACAAATCACATGAACTGTTGCAGTAGGTCTGGAATTTAATATCACTTTACAACTCTTCAATTAATGCAGGGCCGGCTTAAGATATTTTCCAGGGGGGGGGGAAGGATTAAATAGTTGTGCTCAAGTGCGACAAAATTTTTATACTCCCCCTGGCCATTTTTGAGGGAATTTGGTAATATTTGTCACAGTAAACATGTGTTACCAAAGTTTCGATTTTAATTAAAAGTTGCCTGCTCTCTCTTCTTGAAAAAAGAATTTTTCCAGAGAAGGGGACACACAGTGGGGTACTTTGGGGGGTCATGGATGGGTGACTGATTTATGTCACAGTACTCCTCTTAGAATGCATATGTCTTGTGTTGCATGGTGAAATGGTCAAAATGAATAAATTCTGATAATTTTTTTATTTACAAGCATTGTAAGAATTGTAGTTAGCATTGTTTTATAATGATTTCAATTTATGATTACTTTTTACGATTATAAATTAATCCTTGCATGGATCCTTAAAGCTTGATATCGTGTTTGATACAGTGAGCTATTAGGAAGAAAAACAAATTTTAATACAAAAGCAAAAGAAAGCACAGGGTTTTCTGGATTATCTGAATATATGAAAAGAGTTTTAAAGCCATGTAGAACAGATTTAGGTGCTCCAGCAGCTAGGGCTGGGCGCGTTCCTGGTGGAACGATCATTCTTTCCCGAGAACGAACTGAACGATCAAGAACGATCCCATCGTTCGGGAAAAAAAAATGTTCAGAATGCGTTCTTAAAATCTTGGAACGATTAGTAAAAGAACAGAACGGAACGGAAGGGGAATTGCTTGAAAAGAACGGTATAATCGTTAACGCGTTCTTATTTTCAAGAACGAGTTCTCAGTTGGGAACACATTTTAAATCAGGAATGTGTTTCCAGTTTAGATTTTCTCTGTATGTAGTGATCCGAAATTGAAAGATATAATGATTGTAAATGACATTAAACACAATATTAATATAGGAACAAACTCCATCAAATAAAGGCTTCATTTCATACCTTTCAGCTTTCAACTTGTTTTATATCCTTCATTATAGGCATTCATTTTACATTAACTACAAAGATCTGTAAAAAAACGAATTTATTTTAAGTAAGATACAAAATAATAGGTTTACTGAAAGAGGAAAAGAATGTTACTTCTTAACATCCTTGGAAAAGCTACTCTGCAAAACTTTGAAAAAATATTTTCTTTGTTTCTAATTTCTAAAATTTTCTTGTCGTCAACGTAATATGTTAAGATCTTAAATAAATCTAATATGGAATTGACATTATTTCCCAACAAGACAACTTTTAGGACTCATTAACGTTAATTAACGTCACTATTTAACATAAAAACGTACCCACTTTTACGTTATGTAACGTAAAAAAGGGTACGTCATGTAACGTTAAGTTTAACGTTATCTGACGTTCATGAACCAAACTTTTACGTTCAGAAACCCCAAATATGGGCACAGTTTCCACGGAAGTTATGTTAAGTAACGTTATTTAACGTAACAATGCAAGTATAGTTGCGTACATGAACCTAACTTTTACGTCAATGAACCCTTAACATTTAAGCAGCTTTCACAAAAGAAACCCCAAATATGGGCACAGTTTTCATGGAAGTTACGTTAAGTAACATTAATTAATGTAACACAAAGTATAGTTCCGTGCCTGAACCAAACTATACGTTAATGAACCCTAAATATGGAAGCAGCTTTCACAAAAGTTAGGTTGTGTAATGTTATTTAACGTAACAATGACAATATGTTTACAGGAAACCAAAATTTGATTTTTATCAATCCAAAATATATGCTCTTTTTCACCAAAGTTACGTTGAATAACATTATTTGACGTGCCAAAGAACAAAATCAAACACATAAGTACTTACCTAATGTTCTGATGAGAACACATATGTTCTTACCTATTGTTTTGTAGAGCACTATAGTACTTACCTATTAATCTGTAGGAAACACTTTGTACTAAACTTGTGATGTAAAAAATACTTTGTACTTGCCTAATTGTTTTATAGAGAACACTATGTTGAGAACACATTGGTTCTATTTTCTTAGTTGCATATTTGCTTATCATTCAGAAAATACTGTACAAAAGATATTAATATGATCAGTTATTGAGGAAAAGGATAAAAATATACCAACAAATAAATAGTAATTATAAAAAATCACGGTACTTCCATTAAACATATTTAACATCAAATTCAGTGATGGTTAATTATTTCTGTTAAATTCTTGTTCCAGCTTTCGTTGATCGTTGATTATACTTGTTTAATTACCCCATGTGACATTTGTTCGAAATTTAACAAACATAATGACGCATAAAATAAAAAACTTTGTTTTTTTGTTCTTCTGCTGCAGCTGATGTGAGGTAAACTGTGACTGATGTGTTTGCTGGTAACTGGTCTGGTAAATGAAGTGAGTGACCGCCCTGACTCAACACTCAACAGTAAGCGGACGCGGTACCTATAAGGCTACCGGGTGTCCCATGAAACATGACAGTTGGTAAATAGTTGAGAATGTCTTTTTGCATAATTTGTAAAAAGATAATGAAGCAAAAGAAGATTTTTTAACTAAAAATAACGATTTATTAAATGTCATGTTTCGTGGGACACCCTGTAGCAGCTAAACCTGATCGAGCGCGCTCCAGGTCGGGCCGGGCCGGATTATTATACAACCTGCAACCAGCTGGAGCTGAGGCAGGGCACTCTACNATGTTAAGGAAGCTGTGGGGGGGCTGATTCAAATATCTTATGATGCTGCTAAATTAAACTATTCACATGAAATGGTATGCTCAAAACATTTTTTGAAATGGTAAGGGCATTTTTTATGAATAGCTAGTTTGGCATTGATATGGATTTTGTTACGTATATCGATGCATGGATATCAAATGTAAAACTTTAAACCTTACAACAAAGTAAGATATTTCGTAAATTAACGTTTATTTACGAATCCCAATTATCTTAAATACCATTATCTGACGTTCAAAGAAAACCTCAAGCTGACGTTATATCTTACGAATTATGTAACGTAAATTTACGCTAATATATTACGTAAACTTGAAGTTCAATATAAACCTAAAACTAACGTTACCAACCTTCGTAAAGGTACGTAAGCTTACATTATATAGATAACATTTATGTTATTTAACATTCTGTAACGTTACAATTGTTGGTACGTTCCGTAACGTTGAATTACGAAATGGTTTAACGTTAGTCACGTAAAATGGTTTATAGGGTTAGAAGTAAAATGTATTTTTCATTGCCCATACCCTTTTTTATTAAAACATCTAATTGTAATTAGAATTTAGAATCATTTAGAATATGTTGACTTAAAATCTGAAATATCTGAAGTACCCGAAAACCACCGACGTATACCGACCTTAAATTTAGGTTGTCTTAGGTCTGAATTAGGTCGATCTAGGTCGGGCGACCTAAAACGTCCTTAAAACGACCTTAATCTTAGGTCATTTTGGTTGAGATAGGTCGGAGGACCCAAACCGACCTTAGGCGACCTTAGTCTAAGGTTATTTTTGGTCAGGTTAGGTCATTTTAGGTCACACCCTTTTTTAGGTCTATTTAAGGTTATGTGAGGTCGACTGGGGGACCTTTTGCACAGGCTTTTATAAATGAGCTGTCAAATTTTCAGTATAGGTCATGACTATATAATTACCCAGCAAGAAAACCTACTCCGCTTTCCTCTTCTCCTCCTCAAGAGGAGGACTCCTTTTAGCCGCCGAAAATGGAGAATCCTCCTCATTTCCTCCTCTTGTAGAGACCAACCAAAAACGGAATTCCAGAGGAATTCCTTTTGAGGAGAGCTCCACTGTTACTCCTCAAGTGGAGTACTCCTTTCTTCCACCAAAAACGGATGGTTCTCCTAATTTCCTCCTCTTGTGGAGAATCCTCCTCATTCCCTCCGTTTGTGGAGAATTCTCCTAAAGAGGAGCTCTGTCAGAATTCCTTTTCAAGGAGAGATAATCACATGACATGGTTGTGGGGCAGGTCGAGGGGGGTTTCGACTGCCAGTTTCAGAAAGTCCAGTGATAAGACAACATGTGTATTTTTATACATGAGTTATATAAAAATGATGATTAAAAGCGCTCATTTGTCAAATCTTAGTCAGTTATAAATCAATTCTTCAAGGTGCAAGCATGCTGCACAATTTGTTCAGAAAGTTTCTACATGATGAGATCTGCCTGACCTGTAACAATTGCAAAATTTTTTAAGTCATGGGAAGCTCTTTAAATATATAATACTTTTAAAGAACTTAACATGATTTAGCTAATTAGCTTTAATCATCAATCTTCAACTTCAACCCTAGAAACAGTCAACAATAATCATTATTCCACACGTGTGAAAATATCCCTGATTAAATTCTATGATATATATTTGTTATTTAAATAATTGTAACCATGTATGAATTGGCCTTTCTCTAGTATAGAAATTTAATGATTTTTGTAAAGATCATGTTTAAGATTTGTTTAAATGCAACATTTGATAGATTGTTAGTTAAAGGATAGATAGATAGGCGAAATAAAAAAGAAAGAAAGATAGATAAATAGATAGATATATAGATAGATAGATTGATATATAGTTAATAGATATATCTATCTATCTATCTATTTAGATTATCGATCAATGTTTAAATGCAAACATTGATAGATTTATTATTAAAAGATAGATGTATAGGTGAAATAAAAAGAAAGATAGATAGATAGATAGATAGATAGATAGATAGATAGAAGTGCTGGGTCGCCTAGGTATTGGTAGGTCAGGCAGGTACAGGTAGGCAGGTTTTCGTAAAGTTCGAGGATTATGAAATGTATTAATTTTTAATCATGTATATAAAATAAGTGTTAGGATGAATAATGTTTGAAAAGAGTTTTCTTATTTAGAGATGAACAAATATTTGTATGTATTGAGAAATTTGTGAACTTTATATTTAGGAGTGTTAGTACTATCT